GCCATTTTACTATGTGACCTTTGGCAAATTATTATCCATTCTGGGTCAAGGCTGTCTGGTTATGGTCATGGTCATGAAGTAATTATCATATATGATGGTTAGCATTTTAAAAAATGTTGCAAGGTGAAATTCAATATAAAAAAGTTTTGAAGAGGTAAAAAAATTGTAGGAGATATGAATGACTAAGCACAACCTCATCATATCATCCTAATGTTAAATAAAAGCAACTCAAAAATACAAGGCCAAACTTCTCAGTAATTAGTGACATAGCTGAATATGAAAGACAGTATCTAAATATTATCCTTTTGCAGCTGCTGTCTGCTCATCTGTAACAATGTAGAAAAAAATCATCCCAATCAAAGGACTGTTAAGATAAGTGACCTATAAACATGCCTGCCAAGTACTCCTTAAAACAGAAATTGCTCCATAATAGTCCCAGTAATGATCCAGTGGCCTGGAACAATCCATGTTCAGTGTCCCAGCTTATCTACGTCCTTTATGTCATCAGGGAAGTAAATATTCCTGGCACTTCTGACCTCTAAAAAGCCATTTGGTTTTTTAGGAACTTGTTGGTAGAAAGAAGGAAGGGTAACAACTTCCGATAGCTTCTCTTTTAAACCTTATCGGTTGTTTTAAATGGATAATTATGGCAGTCTGAAATGTGTGGAAATTATCTAAATGTCCTATTTAAACTATAAGTATAAAAATGAACCCCTACTAACTCTCCTTCAATGCTGGTGGGAATGCCGACTGGTTCAGCCCTTTTGGAAAACAGTATAGACAATTCTCAAAAAATTAGAAATTGAGCTCCCATTTGATCTAGCAATACTACTCCTGGGAATATATCCCGGAGAGGCAAAAAGTATAGTGAAAAGGACATCTGCACTTCTATGTTCATTGCTGCACTGTTCATAATAGGCAAAATCTGGAAAAAACCCGAGTGCCCGAGAACAGATGACTGGTTAAAGAAACTTTGGTAAATCTACACAATGGAGTACTATGCAGCTCTTAGCAAAGATGAAATTAACATACAAGTGGTACTACATGGAAAGTATCATGCTAAGTGAAATGAGTCAGAAAGAGAGAGACAGACATAGAAAGATTGCATTCATCTTGGGAATATAAAGTAACAAAATAGGAGACTAACACCCAAGAATAGTTGAGATAAGTTCCAGGAGCTTCACTCCATGGCTTGGAGGCCAGTGCACATGCTAGGGGAAAAGGAAGCTCAGATAGAGAAGGGAGCACCAAGCAAAGGGTGTTGGGAGGATCCTCCCAGGATGGGAGATGCATGCTGAAAGTAGACTATAGACCGAACATGACTGTCACTCAATCCCTCTTTTGCAAACCACAGCACCCGAACGGAGAGAGAAAATAAGAGAATGCCCTGTCACAGAGGCGGGGTGGGATAGGGGGATGGGGGGATGGAAGGGATACTGGGATCATTGGTGGTGAAGAATGGGTACTGGTGGAGGGATGGGTACTCGACCACTGTATAACTGAAAACCAAACACAAAAATTTGTAAGTTTACAACTGTACCGCATGATGTTTTTTCACAAATAAAAATTTAAAAATAAAAAATTAAAAAATAAACCTTTTCAATCTAAAAAAAATGAACCCCTAGTAACAAATAAATAAATAATTCTCACTGATTTGGAAAGAAAGGTAGCAATCAATGCTCAACACAGGTCTGTATGATGTCGAAAGAAATCTGTCTATTCAATTAACCAAAAAGCTCAAAACACTTCTTCCTCTTTCTTCTTCCTCTTGGACTCAGGAGACATATGGGATGTCAGGGATTGCATCGGGATCCACCAAATGAAAGTAAAGTGCACTATCTGCTCTAGTATAGCTCCATTTCCAACTCAAAAGATTTCTGAGCTGACTTTCTGAAAATGAAGTCTTCTGTGCTGCTACAGGGGTGACCCAGGACCCTATCCAGAGCAAGAGGAGTTTAAGCTATTACTTCCGAAGTAGCTCCTTCACCATAGATAAATCTGTATTAGCCTTGCTCAGATTCTAGAACCCAAGCCCAGAACAGCTTTTAATGACTGGGATTCTTTTATTATCCTAGAAGAAATGCCTAACAATGCGGAGTAGGGCTGGCAAAAGCATCTGAGAATGCCGAGGAACCAGTGAACTGAGAGTACACATCGAAGGGAAACAGGAACTAGATCTGGAAGGGTCTTAAATTACCTAGCTTCTCCAAGTCAGAAGCTTTAGTATGGGGTAGGTGATAACTTGAAACACTTCTAAACACAGGACAAAAAGCACTAGTGTTAAGGACTAAGTTAAAGCATAACATATATATTTTACAAGTCCTACAAAATTACACCTGGAAAATTTGAAATGTAAATCAATTTACAGAACATGAGTGTTCTTTTATATCATAAATACCTTCCCAGGGTTTCTCAAACTCTGAGAAGGTGTTAATGGTGAAAGGGTCCTTAGTCTCAGAATCATTTTGGGGACAATTGTTTTTAAAAATGCAGATTTCTAAGCCCCACCACAGACTCCCAAACTGAATTCCAGAGGCTGGAGTGGAGACCATGAATTAAAATTACAATTAAGTAGCTCAATTGTTTTAGATGATCCACAGCAAGGCAGGGAGATTAACAATGTCTACTTGTCTGTCAGAAATTTAAAGATATTTACAGACTAGGGATTTGAATATTTTCCCTCAAATGTTTAAGTATCATAAAAATGAAAGCAATACTTTTTGTGATGAGCTCTAAAGAACAATTTTAGTGTATGTGCCAATATAATAAACACCATTATTAAAATGTAATTACACATTTTTGGGAAAATATCAAGTATGTGTCTAAAAATATTGCCTTTATTTTGTCACCCAAAGTAATTAGGCTATTAAAGGAATTTATAGTCTTTTTAAGTATCAGTCACTTGGTTGTAGGAACTTATTAAGCTATTATACTCCTCCCATCACCTTTTAGTCATCAGAATTTTTGTGATAAAGTTCTCTTTATTATTTTTTAAATTATAAATTGTGAATCATTACAACTAGTGATTAGAGCAAATATGAATTTACAATGAACTTATAAATTCCTAAAAACATGTTCATTAGATTTATTAAGGCAGTCTTAACTCTAGTAGATTAAACAGCCTTTGTAATAAAGCTGTTTACTTCTATTAACGCTTTTTTTGGAGGGGGGTGGAAAACAATTCAGTCTGAATGCATTCTCTTGAGAAGCAAAAGGAATAAGTTTCTGATATACATGCTACTGCAAAGCAGTAAACCAGTGCTGCATGGTGATGTGACAAACACCACATCTCTTTTTGAGAGTGTTTTTTAATTTTTCCTCATATAAACGCAAATTCCCCCCAGAGCAGGGCTGTATTTATTTCACAAAATACAGTTTGTCATGTCTGAGAAGTTAAACACTCCTTCCCCCACCCCTCACCCAAATTATAGATTCAGTCTTGAATGTTGAAGGAAAATAGAACTTTCAAGGAAAGCTTTGCAGCAATGAGTTTCCCCTAAGGCTTGCCCCCTCCCTGCAGTGCATTCTACCTCTCTGACTGAAGTATACATGTTATGTTTTAACAGATGGGCCTGCGGCTGCTGGGCTGTAAAACAGGAAGGGGGCATCTGTCCCGAATGCTCGTAAAGTTCAGGGACATAACACTGACCCAGACAGGCCAGACAGATTCAGACATGCTTACACACTCATCATGCACTCTACGGATCAGAGGGTCTCTCTTCACCAACGAGAAGTTCAAGGCTGAATTTCACCCTTCATGTGTTCTCAACTCATTCACCCACTGATTTCATGCACATATTTAGTCACATGTACACATGCATAGGCATGCAAAAATAGCTCTACATCTCAGTGTCTTTAAGAATGTTATCTCAAAAGATCAGGATACCCCCACATTCCATACCCAGGTTTCTAATTAGTGCTCTCAAGAGACTCTCATTCACATCAAATACGACTCATCAGAAAATACTGTGTTCAACCATTAGTCCACGCACAATAGAAACTGCAGATATGTCGTGACCCTCAGGAAAACCAAGTCATTCTATCCCATTATCATTAAATTAAAAGGGGAGAGGGGAAAAAATAGTCCAGATTGAGTCACAAAGTGGCAGGCTTAACCTTGAACCCTGTTGTCATTTCCTGTCATCACTTCATCACTTAAAACATACAGGTGCCCCAACAAACACCGCCCAGCATCCTGGGCATCCCTTGCACCACCTCTCGTAGGGGGCTCTGGTCCCTGATCAGTCAGCTGCTCCTATATCCCCGCGCCCCACCCGCGACCCTTCCTAGCAAAGTCCTTGGGACACACTTGCAGGTGCATGCGGAGGTCCGAGCACCTAAGAGAGATGCGGCTTCCAGCGCTGCTAGAAAACAATGGCAAAGTTTAACAAACGCGTTGCCGGTTCCTATCGACGACTGCTGGGTAGCTAAACCCCAGTTCGAGAGCCCCGCCGGAGGTCAGTGAAGTTCTCGCTGCGCCGAAGACCCGAAGACCCTCAGAAACGCCACCGCCTAGCCGGCTCAGGCGATGGCTCAGACCCCGACGTCCGGGTGGTCGCGCTCGCAGGGCTCCTGCGGCGGGTTCATTTCTCAGGACCCGGACTGCGAACCCTCTCGGAACGACTTTCTGTGCATCACAGGGCACCGAGGCCGCCCGCCCGGCAAGCGTGTCGCCACCGCAAAGCCCCGGGCCCCACTTAAGTGATGACAAATTAACCGCACGCCAAGTTATCGCAAACGCCGAGCCGCGTCCGGACGGAGTTGCGACGCTTCCAAACAAGAAGTTCAGGAGTGGGTCTGTGCCAGAGACGACTCAATCCCGGCCAGCAGCGCTGACCTCCTACCGCGGCCACGCTCTGACTGACTGACTGACCGACGCGCGACGGGACGCGTCCGGTCCGCCCCTCTCGCCCCCCACCGCCCCCACACCCCAACACCGCCAGCTCTCCGGTCGCCCAACAGCGGCCAAGGAACAGATCTCTCTGAGCTCGGTCACTCACCCTTCTCGCCCAGTCCGGATCGCAAACCGACGTCCCTGCTGCGGGTCCTGAATTCTGAGTTGCTTTGGACGGTCCGCTGCTGTTGTCTCAGGGAACCGGGGCACATTGGCACAGCACCTCCCCGGGAGCACGGCAAGCCCCACGGGCGCCCGGCTCAGCAGCCACCGGGGGCGCGCTGACAATTCCTGGACCTACTCAGCGAATGAGGCGGACCGCGGCGCTGAGGCCACCGGCTCGCAGGGAGGCGGGGCCGGGAGGTAGTCAGGGTGGAGCCAGCCTCGGGTCGGCCCCGAGGGGGCGGGGCGTCCCCCCACCCGTGACTGACGGAGCTTGCAACCAATCACAGCGGTGCCCGGACCCCCGGAGGTCGTGGGCGGTGCCCAGCTCCCGGCTCCGCCCCCGCGCCGCCGACCAATCGTCCGCCGCCCGGGGTTAGCTGGGGAGGCGCGCCGGCGGCTGGGAAGTTGGCGGCCTTGAGGGAACCAGACTGCTGGCGACCGCTGTGGCTTCGGCTGCGGCGGGAACCCTCGGCGTCTCAGAAGCAAAGTGGAGGCCTGAAAAGGCTCTCGCCAGAGAGAAGCCCTAGGTGTCGGGAGCCGGCCCTCCACCCCGGAGCCGCCACGCCTCAGCGCGCTGTGGAGCAGAAAGCCCACCCCAAGCTCTGGCCGAGCCGCGTTGACAATGCCCGCACCTGGTGTCAGTAGGCTACGCGGAACTTGGCTCCCCAGAGGAACCCCAACAGTGGGAGGAAGCCGACCCCCAAAGAGGGTGAGTCCTGGACCGGGTCACCTGCCACCGGTGGAGACCCGAGCCCGGGACTGGAAGCTCCGAGCAATCTGGGACGGGTTCTGAGGCGATCGGGGAGTGCTGACACAAAACTCCGACTCCTTAAAGCTCCCCGAAAGTTCAAAACACGTCCCTCCTCACCCCCGCCCCAGCGCTGTGGGGAACCTCTCTAGGCGCCTCCCGCACTTGCGCAGAAACCCGGGGCACGGGAGTCGAACCCGGGGCGCCCGGCGCTCGATCGCGCGGGACTCTCCCTGCCGTGGGGCTGCGGCCTCGGCAGCTGGGGGGCTCCTCGCGCAGCCAGCCCTAGAGTCCGCTGGGACTCCGGGGGCGCCCAGAGCCTTGTGTTCCCGCGGAAACGCCGCGGAGTGAGCAAACCTCTGCCTGTGCGCGCGCTCGCCCCTTCGCTTCCCGAGTCCCTGACTGCAGGAGAGGCACGCGCGGAGCTCGGAGACCGCTCCTGCGCCCCCCGCGAGGGTCCGAGCTCGCTGCGTCAGCCACAAGGGAGGTGCCGGGGAAGAAACCTAGGTGGGCCCGGCCCTTCCTGTTCGGCTGCTGGTCCCTTCGCCGGACGAGCCCTTGAGCTCTGCATTACCCGTGCCTAATGGAGTTGAGGGTAAAGAGAGCGGAAAAAGCAGATTATCGAGTGTTTGGCAGACGGAGGCCTAGAAATGTAAACAAGCGGTGGGTGGGACTGCACCTGCTCTAGGAAAGCATCCGACCCGTCTGAGTACAATGAATATTTGCATGGCAGGGAGGAATCAAACTTCCTGGTGCTCTGAAGCCTTCACCACCGACCCATTTTTCTTCATTCAGATTCCGAAAGTCTCACGGATGGGCATCTGCCCGTGTGGGAGGAGATTGTGTGGGGAGGACGATGGACCTGTGCAGTGTCATTTCCAATAGCTGTCCTACTCCACCCCCACATTATAGTTCATCTCTGGTGAGCAAGTTCTAACCAGGGTCCTTGTCAAGAAGATAGGCAAATGTTCTGTGACTGAAAAGGAATGAATTAGATGAGATGGGTTCTCTAGTAGGCAAGGCAGCAGCTGCTCCAAAGTGAGTTCTGACTTAGTTTTCAAATTTATCCTCCTGAAGTCCCTGATTCATTAGGGGAAAGTCCATAAAGTAGGCATTCGGGAACGCAAAAACCAGCCTGAACAGTCTCTAGTAGGATCTATTTTTTTTTTTTTAGCAGTGATGCAGAAATTGTACATATTTAAACCTTTCATTGCCTAGTGACCAAAGGACTCATGCAGGCTGGCGACACAATTTGGTAAGATTCCAGCAGTTGCCTAACATGCTGCTGAGTGACCTGGGAGAATGGCTTTCAACCGCAAGGAATTAGATGTGGAGCATATGAATGGAATAAATATAAACGTAGGTCTCTGCCCAGGGATATGTGCGAAGAGGCAGAATAAAGGGATCAATGGTATTTGCTTGGACTCCCCCCTCCCCTCTCCTACCCCCCAGTCCCCCATTCCCAGACCAATAAGAGAGGGGGAAAATCCAATGGTTGGAACAATAATACAGTGAGTAGGGCACTTGCTTTACATGTGACCAACCTGGGTTCGTTTCCTGGCATCCCATAATGTCCCCTGAGCTCCACCAGAAGTCATCCCTGAACATGAATGGAGCAAGCCCTGAACACAGCTGGGTGTGATTCCAAAACAAAAAAAAATAAAATTAATTTTTTTAAAAGGAAGAAAAATATCCTAGCAGTGTTTATCATATTAACACCCTGTGAAAACTTTTCACAGATACTAAAAATTACCTTGATAATAGCCAAATACTGACTATTCTTATGTTTAGGTTAGATGTTGAAAAAACGAAATAGAAAATTAAGTTAAAATTAAAGTATCTTATATCCTGGAACTTCTGTATTCCAAGATTTTCTACTTTTTAATGTAAACACAACTAATTATGGTTTTTGAATATCTTATTTTCCCTTAGAATGACATGGAAGAGATTGCTTTTCTTTTACTTAATATTTAACAAGAGCTAATCACTCAGATCCTTTGTTTGCTAGACCCCCTAATGATCTCTTCAGTTTGGACCATTCCATATTCTATAAGGCAATATGAGATCTGTTACTTGTTCAATAATTCACTTTAATTCTTCTTGTAGGTAACAAGCGGTGGAATTCGTGATTCACATATATTCGACACAAGGATCTATCCTAGCACTCCCTAACCCCTAAGAGAAACAAACAGTAGAGCATGGATTTGGAACTTATCTGTCTAGTCCTTATTTCATGTAAGGAAATTTCTCTCTCTGAAAAAGTTGAGGAAATTTATGGAATGTCTTGGGAGTGAGAAGATTGAAGTAGAACTCTAGAAGTAAGGCTGTTTCCTTTGTGGATGGCGAACAATTTGTCTTCAAGCACTGTCACCCATATTTCACATTGAAAATGTTTGGTGATCTTCTAACTTTCAATAGGGTATGACTTATAGAGCCTTGGGTTGCTGCCATGGTAAGTGTTTGTGGCAGTCACACTTAACCTCCCTTTACCCTTGTTTCTTCAGCCATCAAATATTTACAGTACAATTGTACCACTGTGTTTAGCTGTTTATGGGGAATACCAGGACACTGGTTACAGAGCACTGCAATAGCATGCAAATACATGACATTTATAGCAAAACCATTTAATGAAAAGAAGAACAAAATAATATTGAAATGGGGAAAGAGTGTGATAAGAACACTTCCTCTGTACAACTGCCATTTCTAATCTTTAAATCTCATTCAATTATAATTCACTTCTATAGATGGAAATGACAAAGAAGGTTTCTCACCTTGTTCTTTAATTTCCATATGTTTTGGAAGTTTTACTTATGTATATGGTAATAATACCTCTTTCTCATTTCTACCACCTTTCTCTATACATACTCGCTTTGGAAAATATTCAGAATTCAAACAGGTTGAACTAACTTAGGAAAGAAATATAAATGTAATTTTAAAAAGTCTAATACCTGTCATGCTATAGTTTAATTCTAAAATCGTGAAATTCTTTACCACTCTCATATCTTAGTTTCCCATTTATAAAACTTCAGTGATAGTTTTGATTAATTTCAGAGAGAGAAGATATTAGTAATGATAAGGCACTTTATAATGGTAATAGATTGCTACCTAGAGTACAAAATATATGGGGTGGCAAATTAAGATAGAGTGTTAGTCTGTATATCACAACTAGGAGATATTTTTGTAACCATTGACTCTTGCCCAGTATCTTTAGTCAGGGTGATACTCCCCACAATATAATGATACTTTATTGCATCTGAATGACTGTGCAAATACCAACTATGAGGCCTATATTGGTATGAGTCCAACTAAGTAAAAATATAGCAGAAATGGTGGGGAGAAAGATCCTTCACACATACCTCCAAACTAAAAGTGCATAGAAAGGATTGGGAGAGGGAACTGAGTGGTTAGAAGTGCATAACTTGTTTGCATAGGGACCTGAGTTTAATCCGTGACACTGTATGATCCCCTCAGATATCCCTGTGAGTTTCCTTGGAGACCATGAAACACTGCAGAGTGTGACCCTGCTCTCCAGAATCCCAGGCCCAAGCACTACCAAATCGCTGAGCCTGAACATTGGAACATCAGACCTAGTTGCTTAAGTTGATTAAATACTTCCAGGAATGACTCCAGACCCTTAAATACTGCCTGGGAACCCCCCCCCCCCAAAAAAAAGAAGTACATTGAATTTCTTTAAAATACGTGCCACTATGTGAAAACAAGCCTGATGAAAGAATAGGATGACCTTAGAAATAAGACTTGAAATGAAAGTAGACAAATTGGTCCAAAGTCTACTAGAAGAAATGTAAAAAATAATTTTTATTTTAAAACCTTATGAGCGATAGCACAGTGGTAGGGCATTTGCCTTGCATGCAGCCAACATGGCCGACCCGAGTTCGATTCCTCCGCCCCTCTCGGAGAGCCCGGCAAGCTACCGAGAGTATCTCGCCCGCACGGCAGAGCCTGGCAAGCCACCTGTGATGTATTCGATATGCCAAACACAGTAACAACAAAATCTCCAATGGAGATGTTACTGGGCCCGCTCGAGCAAATGGATGAACAATGGGAGGGCCTAGCAAAATGAGTACCACTGAGGAGTGAAACAACGATTTGGAGGATCATATGCTCAGAGATGAGAAATAGACTCCCTATATAAATAAGAAATAATAGTAGGGAGTTCTAATAAGTCAAAGAGTAGGGACTTTGGAAATACAATATGGGTTGAATTTTCATCCCACTCCTTCTTAACTTTGAAAACTTGCACAAGTTGCTTAGTTTTTCTGAGCCCCAAAATGTGGACAATAATTAGTCCACTGCCCGACTTTTTTCATGAATCTGAAGTCAAAAGTTCTATGAAACTTGTAACAAAGGGAAATCTTCAGAATGGACCATATAATGGCAATAAGACCTACTGTTTATTGAGCTCATACTATGTGTGGTGTATTGTCTCCAGCCTTTCACCTAATGACTCACTTGATCCTCATGGCCCCTTTATGATGTTGCTTCTCAGAATTTCTGTGTGTGTGGAAGGACTGTTCTAGGAATAATATTGTGCTATGCACTAAA